ACGATGGTCTGTACCTGTTTGCCTTGGCGAATCAGATCATCAACTCGTTGCTTGTGTAGTTGAAGGTCCACTTCAAATGTGTCGTGCTTCTTGAGAAGACCTTGCACACCGGCCATATTATCGCCATAGTTATCCGAACCTACAAAGCAAAGTACCAATGAGATTTTCAAATGATAGATCTATTTTTAAAGGGACTAAGCTTACCAAGAATCTGTTGCTTCTCGTTCATCCATGCTTCCTCTTCTTCAATCTTGCCCAAGAACTCTTGGAATTCTTCAGACTCGCTCAGCTTCTGATGGCTAAAAACGATACATCAACTGATTTGTAAAGAGATGATAGGAAAAAAAGCTGCATAAATCAAGCCTTGGAACAACAGTAAACTCGACTGCCACCATAACCGTAAGAACTACTTACCGGCTACCAGTGAGGTCACGAATCTGTCCCCAGCTGCGCTCCAAATCTGCCATTCTCTTCTGAATCTCATCTCCACCGATTCCTGACGAGCGTAAAAGTTCTTCACCCTTCAGACGAACTTGGGAAACCTGAACAGTGAAGATAATTTCCAGGACGTAACTCTGCCGACAAAAAGACATACCAGAGGTTCGTGGCTCGCCAATTCGGTATCAAGGCGACGATGCTTACGACGAAGATTTTGTACTCCAGGAAGATCACGACCATAGTCGTCCGATGAGACAAGAAGCTTCTTTTCCCTAAAATGTTGATCGTAAAATTAGATTTCTGAGTAGGTTTAGTCTTATTTTGATCTCACTTGATCCATGACTCCTCATCATCGATGTCACGGAAGAACTGGTGCACATTCAGGGCTTTGTTGAGCTTGTCACGGCGATCATTTGCCATCTCTTTCACACGTTCATAGCGATCAGCGATTACCTACAAACGTGGAACTTTCGCAAAACTAGGTACTAACACCTGCAACATATGACAACCCCCTTACCTTGCGGCGCTCGGCGATCTGCTGACCAGCGAACTGATCTCTTTCAAGAAGAGAATCCGCTTGCTGATTCATCTCCTGGACACGATCCTGGTGGGCAATAATGTCTGCTTCTAGAAGCTGATGCTTCTTCAGGAGATTTTCGATAGATGCCAGATCCTGAAACGCCTTCTGGTTAATCCCTGAACCTCTCATATAGCAGAACTATAAACGCTTACCTTTCCATAGTCATCAGACTGCAGAAGAATTTCTACCTCACCAAGCCAGAACTCCAAATCCTTGACTGCAGCCATGAAGCTTTTCTGCTTATTAGCCTCTTTGAGTCTAAAACGAGTACCTCATTAGACCTGCATCGAAAAACGGCACTGGAGTTCACATTCATTTGAAATGTACTCATTTTCGTGAGTAGTCTTCACGAGGAAGCTCCACTTGGTTTCAGATGCATCAGGAGCGCTGACGGCATCCTCGCCTCCAGCGCATTTAGCACCATCAATGAGATTCTGGCCAGCAGTGATAAGAGTGGCAATTCGATCAGCATTGGCAGCCAATTCGGCTTCGAATGCCTGTTGTTTTTGGTGTTTCTGCTGGATATTCGTTGGATCGCGGTAGTTCTCTTCTTGGGCAACCTTAAGCAATGCAGTCAATGACATTCGAATTTTGAAGAAAAATTGTCGTCAAAACCAATCAAGTCTTATTTGACAGTCTATTTTAGTAGTGGAAGGTAGTTTCCACGGAACAACTACATACTTGGAACTTCTCTGCAATCCAGTTCTCAATCTCATCCGCATCACGACTGAACTGCTGCAACGTCTGGCTTTCTCCCAGCTTGCTTCGCTTTTCAATGAGAGCAGACTTCAGACGCTCCCATCTGGAATCAGTACATATATTCAGACGTTAAAGTGGGTCAGCGAAGAAGCCAACGATGCCAAGCTACTTACCTATCCAGAATCATGTCGCGCTTACGAGCCACGGCATCTTTGTCGTAATGATTGCTGTTGATGAGCTGATTGGCGAATTGCTGTAAAGGTTAAACTTGAGGAGAATTACTATATCACGAGGCTATCTGTCACCTACCTGCAATCCAGCGAATCTTCTCCTGCTGACTGTTGATCGCCTTGTCGAAATCTTCATGCTTCTTAATCAGCGACTCGACGTTGTCACCAGTTGGGTCTTCCTGGGCCAAGAAGTTCTCCCTAGCAGACATCCAAGTGTCAGCCTAAAACGATATAAGTTCAGGAAAGATACTATCCGAACAATTGCATGGCTCAATATCTTGTATTCATTCGGACCTGTTCACAGTCTCTGTAGAAGAGCTGCAGTTCAAGACACTGGTCGAGAATATTGCGACGAGCCACCCAGGCATCTTCGAGTCCTTGACGAGCTGCATTGACCTGTAAGCGAAAAATAAATTCAATTATTAATTAAAGGTAGAATAGAGAAGTGAAAAAAAAACTTACATCGTTCAAACGCTTCGCGATGTCCTCGCTAGCATAATGATTGTTGTTGAGAAGTTGATTACCGAACTGCTCAAAGGCATGGAACGTTGCAGCACGCGAATCGATCTCAGTACGGTACTCCT